AAAAAGTGGGGGGGAAAAGTGGCTACCGGCCGAATACCAATTTAGGATTGGTGTGTCGACCGGCCGAGCGGAGTTTTTGGAACAACGTAACCATTCAGTCTGTAAGGCACGATGTTTGACATGTCGGAGATGAATTGTTCTGAGTCCTATTTGAAAAAGGGGGGGAGAAGAGGTGAATCGAATCGATATTCGTCGCACATGCCTGACACCCAAGCCGCATACGATTTTGCGTACAATCCTGCATACACCTATTACCCGGAGGATGTGGCCAGGATGCCAATTCGGGTGCCGATGGCGTGCACGAGCTGTCGCCGTGAGTTCCGTGTTGTCTTGATGTTTGCCGACAATTGAATGGCTGTCCAGACCGGAAGATCAAATGCGGTATGGAAATAAATCGACAATCAAATCACAGAATGGAACTGAGCGCCTCCAGTACAGACGGCAGGAAACCCCACTGCTTTCGCTGCGTAAAAAACCACTATTGTTGTGAATATGTGAAAGTGTACGTACAGGTGTCGATCTGTAAGTCTTGGGCGTGCCGCTAATGCATTGCCAGTGGCCAGGAGAGGTCCCGTAGAGATGCCAACAACGAGGCGATGGCAATCTTCTGGCCCGGAGGAAACGGGCAACACCAAATTTGATTCACACGATGTGCGGAACGCGGTCGCTTGACCAACCACGGGAACAAACGGTGTATTCATTTTTCTGGTAAACGAGCATGTACGTATATTACGGGAGGAAGCGCTTTGGCAGAACTAAAGGTAGGGGCAGGGAGTCGGTTAAGCATCGAAAAGGGAAAAATGAGAAATTGACTTACCGAATTTTACACCACTTGGACGCCGCCCCAGGTCAACGCTTGGTTGAATGCGTCGAGGGCGAGGCTCTGAGTGGTATAGGCCTTGCGCGCCGCGTGTGCGACACCACTGATGGCCACCGCGGACAAAGCGCTGCGAAAGATTGAGAAAAGGAGCGGGGATGAGCAGCTGTTGGCTTACAATTGGTCTACCACGCCGACGAAGCGACCGCGAGTGACGGCATACCACTCGGGGGCCGCTACATCTTCCTCAATGGGAGTGAGGGGCTCGGCAGGGACGGTACTGAAGACCTGGTTTGCGAGATAAGGGCCTTCGGTGCGGAGGAGAGCAACGAGAGGCGCAGGAAGGCCGGCCCCGGGTGGAACACGTTGGGCAGGTGCGGGAGGACTAGTGGTATCCGGCGAGACGGTGGGGGGCCCAGATGGAGAAGGAGCAATGACAGGGGTGGGTAGGGCTGCACAGGGCACTGCTGCAGCCGGAATGGCGGCGGCGAGAGCCACGATTGGGATCCCAACGATGAAGAACACTGGAAGTACATGAGCCAGACTCAAAAGAAAAGAAAAGAAAGCTCACTGGAAGGCTGGGACGCGACCACAGGAAGTTGTGACGCTTGGGACCGAGTGTTGTTGGTCATGGTGGTACGGAAGAAGAGTAGGATGGCAGATAAGCGAGGGGCTACGCGTTTTAAAGGAGCATAATATGTTGATTTGATGGGCGGTGTGACACCAGTAGGTTTGTTTGTTCTCTCTGCAGCCACGTCCGCGGCTACGTCAAGAAAACCAGAGCTGCTCCGTTTGCAGCAAGAAAGATCTATTGTTAGTAAGTACAGAAGATATACCCCCCAGAGACAATTATTATCTGACCAGGATTCCAGGATTTCGACAATTGGAGCGGAGGCATTGTTGTGTTAATATGGCCGACAAAGTGCAGAGAACAAGAACACGCAAGCGCAGTCAATGGAAGCGCGTAGCCAGGAAAGATCGGCGGAACTTGAAGATGTGGGCAGAAGGGGCACGGGAGTCTATCCTGAAGCCGCATATTCCAGGGTACACTGATGCCCTGGAGCGCAGGTGGCGTGCAGAGCGGGATTACTTGCAACGCGTGTGCAACGAATTTCACGCGAAGATTTCGTGGCATCTGGAGGACCACCAGGAGCCCGAGTTGCCGTTAGCAGACTACGATGAGTTTGCAATACCAGTTTTAGAGGAGTTGGACGAGGATGCGGCGACCACGAAGCGGTTGCGCATCGAGACGATGAACGCGGTGAGTGAAGTTTTGATGCGGGGTTGGTGCGGCGTGATACTGATCAGCCTTTTTTTTTACTCCAGCGTATCGGCCGGTGGCTCAAGTATCGGGCTCGACGACTCAAACGACCTCTCAAGATGGACCGGACCCGGGACCCTTGGGCCATGCTTCTTATGAAGCTCGCCGGTATCAATGCACCACCCAAGGCCCGCCAAGCCTTCCAGCAGTACATGCATGAGTCCTATGAAACAGAGATTCTGCCTGCAGTGACAGCGCGTTGGGCAGCCACCTTTGAGCAGGATGGACTTACTTTGAAGGATTCGAAGAAACCCAACACCCCTTTCCGCGCCCAAGTCGCTCGGGAGCTCTTTGCCGAACTCTCCTCGGCCAAACAAGAGGGTCTGCGCAAACGCGTGAAAGCGGACGCAGAAGCTGCAAGAGAGGCCTACCAGAAGGCACTGAAGTGCGGCCCTTCTAAATCCCCCGAGGATCGGCAACGGTAGGCATTTTTTTTTTTTGATTTCGTGTGAAGCAAACATTCACCTAACTAAATTGCAGCTGCATCGATAATCTAGGGACGTTCATGTCCTCGGTTTTAAGGGGAGTCTGCGAGCACACGGGACTCCATTCTTTTGTGGTGTTCGGAGGACCTATGCCGCAATTTGGGGGGGAACTGAGAACGGCACAGTAAGTTTATCCGTTTGTGGAAGATCGATCCATGGATACTGATACACTTTGCTTAGCATGTCCTACGGTAGAAACCATGGGCCCAATTCCTGCCACTTCCCAAATTGGTCCAAGGCACGATTCAACAGGGACGTCCTTGATTTTATGAAAGAATATCTTCGTACAGCATTCAGTGAGTGGATTGTTATAATAAAGTGGGTCGAGCCGGCATCTGACTATGATTTGAATGCGTTAGCTCCTGCTGAGTGTGCAGAAGCTGCGCTGCCGGATTCGGGTGACACGCCTGCCGCAGGCGGCGCAGGCTTATCTATGGATCTGGGGTTCGGGAACGACTCTGCGGAAGACGACTCCGGAGGGTCTGATTCGTCTGATGACCTTGACGATGACGACAGCGACAGCGACAGCGACATGGGCAGCGAGATGGAGCCAGAGATGGGAAAGCAGAAGGGAAAGGCGGTAAAGGGAACCAACAGGAAGGTGAAGCACAAGCGGAAGCTGGATGAGAAGGAAGAAACAGCGAGCAAGAGGCGTCGCGGGACCTCCGGTGACACGCCGCCGCCGCCGCCACTGCAGCTGCCGGTGCCGACAATGCCATACATGTCGGAAAGCCACATCCAACAGCTGCAGCGGGAGCGGGAGTTCAATCTGGCGCAGAATAGAGCCGCACTGCGGAAGTTGGACTTGGAGATGAAGGCGAGAGACCCCGAATTATGGGAGGCAGGCGAGTCCGGACAGAGTTCGTTGACAGGGAAGGGGAAGGCAGCCGCCAAACCCAAAGCTCCGAGACTCAAAACGGTGGCAGCGCAACCTGTACGCCATTCAACTCGCAGTAAAGGGCAGGGGAATTCCGGTAAGTGATATACGATTGACTGGAAGAAATCCTGTCAACTGGCATGTGCGCAGGAGATGTCAAGATGACAGAGAGCACTGTATCGGCCCCGTCAATTCCCTCTGGACCCCTGCCGCCCACGGGCAGGATGAATTCGGTACTTGCACCTGCGTTGCCTTCCGCAGGCGGGATGAACTCGACCCATGCACCACCGTCTCCTTCCGCAGGCGCGACAAACTCGATCCTCACTCCACCGTCTCCTTCTGCAGGTGCGACGAACTCGATCCTCACGCCACCGTCGCCTCCTTCGGCTCCTGCAGGCACAGGTCCGACGAACTCGATCCTCACTCCACTGTCTCCTTCTGCAGGTGCGACGAACTCGATCCTCACGCCACCGTCGCCTCCTTCGCCTCCTGCAGGCACAGGTCCGACGAACTCGATACCGGCAGTACATCCACCTTCCCCTCCTGGAGGTAGAATAAACTCGAGGCCAACCACTCTGGCGGGTCCATTTTCGACAAGTCTGGGTGCTGTGGTCCCCAGCTCCACCGAGCATAGTTCCTCCGTTGACAAGGGCACCGTGCCGGCTGCACGGTCGTCACAAAACTACCTGCGCGCAGTACCTGCTTCATCGGGCACCATCTCAGAGGACACGCGTGACGATGAGCAAACTCCTCCAGATGATGGGATCCCATCGTGCCCGACCGACGCGCTGGAGTGGTTTACCACAGTATATGCTGAGGTGTCCCGTTGCAACCTGGGGAGCGCATTCAACGCGCTCCTCAAGCTCTTCATTGAACTTGAGCAGCAGTACGGTTGGGTGAAAACCGGCGGGAAGGGCCTCGGCACTACGAATCGCCCCCCACAAGTCACGGCTTGGATTTCAGCGGGACGAGGATCGCGGGGCGGGAGCATGGCAAATGCCATTGGTCCCACCATGCCAGCACTGGCCGTCTTTGACGCGACATGGTGGCAATGGTGGAGCGGCCTCCAACCTAGCTGGCGGACCACGGACAAAGGGAACTCGGCCAGATTCGCGCGCGATAGGTATCCAGCGGGAGACGTGGGGAACTGGGTGACATTGCGGCATTCAGGCCCCAACGGGGTCCTGAGTCTCGTTGCGGCTCTCTACTGGTGGGGAAAGAAGGCTCAAAAGGAAGGCGGTCAGGAGCACTTGGAATCCTGGGTGGAGGGAGTCATCGATGTTAACTGGATGCTGCGTGGGCTGCTGGCGGCGCTCAAGAAAGGCTGACACACAGACCTTCATGGACACGTCTTCCTTCTCCTTAATCTTACTGGTATAGCGTGGCGGTAGCGGTAGCATTCTTTATTCTTTGAAGTCAATTTAAGCATCGTCTTTTTTATTTGAATGGGATTCAATACATGAGTGTCGGTGTGGCTACCTCTTCTTCCGCAGTTGAGGAGACCTGGTGGTGTAGTGGCAACACATCTTGGTACTGTAACTCTGAGCGGTATTTTCCCAAGAGATCCCCTGTTCGACTCGGGGCTAGGTCGTCTTTTTCTATATCGAGAATTTTCTTATACGTAAATTGTTGACTTTTTAAAAATCATCGATTAGGAAGTGGTGGGGAGGGTACACCACTGGGATACAAGTGGTGTAATGGTAACACTGCCTCTACGACTTCATTGGGGAATTGGAAATTATGAGGTGGTTCCCTGTTCGAGTCAGGGCTGGGGCATATCATGTGAACTACAGGCTTTTTCACGCAGGTTGAACCACATTTTTTATTTGATCGGTGAATTTAATTAATTATTGAGTCCTAGTATTCTACGCTTGGTTGTTTTTTCTCTTGTAGCGCCGTGGATCAGGGTGATCACCTGCAAGAAATACTCTGGTTGACGACTAATTACGCAGGCGTTGTGGGTTCGACTCCCGCCGGGGGCACTGAAAGATGGAAGCGAGGGATTTTTTTTTCATTATATATATTTGAAGTCCTCAAATGTGTTGGAAACAAGAGACATTTTCTTTGCAACCCCGTAGATCAAGGTGATCCAAGACATACTCTGGTTGACAACCGAGACTCCCATCGGGGCATACAGCCTCAAGGATTCCTCCTTTTCTTTCTTTTTCTTCTTTCATGTAAACATCATTTTGCTTGCTGACAGAAGTGTCCCCAAGAAATTGATGGGAAAGTGGCGGGAGGGGCGGGCAGGGGGCGGTACATTTGATGGCAGGGCAGGAATATTGATGGTTGATGGATGTCAGAGAATGTTGCGGGGATATTTGATGGGAGATGAGATAGGGAAGAGTGGGAAATAGATTGTACGGGAAAGGCATGCCGAGGAAGCGGCCGTGCAGACAGCCGCCGGAAAACGCCGGCCCAAAAGCCAACCTGAGAGGCTTAAAGGAGGGCTAGCCAGGCCCCTGGCTACAGCCAGGCTGGAAGACAACCTATGCACCTGGCTACAGCCAGGCCATTTAGGCTAAATCTTACAGCTACGGCTCGTCGTCCTGCAACTCGTTAGGCTGGACACGCCGTTTTTTGTGCGAGATGTTGAGGAGTTCCTCGACCCTGCGATCGCCGTCCGCCGAAAAGTAAATACCCGTATCCCCTGAGATGTTCGTCACCTCTCGTGGTGTGGCGTCCTCAATGGTCACGTTGTTATCCCGCCTCGGGTGACGTCCGGGTCTTCGCGAGGCCATGAAAGTCAGCAGTGTGTGGGGGACAACGAAGAATTTGCCTTTGACCCACCTCTGATTGAGCCCACATCCTCCCAAATTTCCTGACGACGACCTCTTAGCCGCGAGCGCGGCCTGGATTTTGACACCGAAATAATCCAAATCTAGGCAGCCCTCGCTCAGGAATTGGGACCTAAACACATGGGAGTACTCACATTTACATGCCTCCAATCGGCGCCAGGCCTCAGGCGGAATTCAGCCAGATACGAACACTCAGCAAAAGACAACAAAGCAGTTGGAATGAAGATCAAAATTGATTAATCAGCAACTCCGAAACGCCGAAGTCACGGTCCGTTTTCGGACGAGCTCACTTGTGCTATGTTTTCTGGCTACTGTATGTGAATACCTAACTAAGGCGAACACTAAGGCGACCAACGGCGACCCGTCTACGGTGAATCTGGGACAATCCGGCGGACGGACTGCGGGAACGTCAAGCCATCCCACCGGTACGCAACAACACTCCCATCCTCCCAGTCAGGATACTCGGCCGCGATACCAGCTTCCTCGGCATACTGTCTGAAGGGTGCGCGCGTCATTTGGGCACAGCATTCCGGGCAAGACCAGTGCTTCTCGAGCCACAGGCGGATGCAGACATAGCAATGGCTATGTCCACAAAGGTATCTGAATGCCCAAGTCAGCTCCCGCGTTCCATAGTGGTAAGAAAAATGGACGTACGTCACTGGATGCGATTTCACAGCGTGGCAAATTCCACAGATGTGGTGGGGCTTCAGTTTAAGATCCTCGCTGGAGTTGGGGCCGATACCATTAACCCACAAATCTTCGTGTGTCAAACGCCTGGGACCGCGATCCTCGCGGGATCCACTGGATACCCACGAGGGAGGGGGAGGGGGGCGTCTACGCAATGGTGGCCTTTCAGCTTGCGCACGCAGCTCAGCACGCCGCAAGGCGCGCTTGGCTGCTTCTGCTGCTGCCTTGGACGCGCCGTGGGAGGGGATGCGGACCATTGCATGCTCGTGCTTGCGTGTTGCCACGGCCAACATGCTGTGGTTCTGGTCGCCTGCAGCGCTGCTAGAGGTCTCGATAGTCGGTGCAGGAGGTCCAAGCTGGATAATCGTCGAAGGTCCGTATATAATCCTGGCACGAGGCCCTATACCAATGCTCATCAGACATTACAGCGCGACTGAACGGGAGAAAGCCCTACCGCGGTCATCCATGCAGATCTGTTCGCGTTTGGGAGGGCGGGGAGGGCCTGTGTAGAACACCGTCAGGTGAGTCCTTCGACAAAAGGATCCGGTACTGACTGTTGTTTACCACCCTCATCGCCGAATTGTCTCCGAATTTTGGTGGGTGCTGAAGAATTGTCGAAGGAGGTCTGTATATAATCCTGGGACGAGGCCCTGTCCAAATGCTCATCAGACATCACAGCACGACCAAATGGCAGAAAAGCCTACCACGGTCGTCCATGTGGATCTGTTCGCGTTTAGGAGGTTGAGGAGGACCTGTGTAGAACAACGTGAGTCGTTCGACAAAAGCGTCCACGGTACTGACTGTTATCTATAACCGTCATCGGGTTCGATACCGAACCAGGAGGATACCCCCAGCTGGCCTGGTTTGGGTTGTCGCGCAAACCAACGCGCACGGACATGGTAGCAGAAGGGTGTTTTTTGGGGCTCTTCTGGGATGCAAGGCAAGGAAAACAAGTGTTCCCTCAAGTGCGTCCCTGTTTAATGGGATTTCGTTTGCTCGCTCATTCCCTCCTGTTTCTCGGCTCGACCTTAGCTCAACCCTCGACCTGCGTCACATCCTTTTGGGAACTCACGCGCGCGAAACCGCGCCAATGAAATCACACGTCTGCAGGGGCCCAGGGAAGTCTGGACTCATTAATCAGACCGCCAATCGGTCGCTTGGTGCCGTAATGTCGATCCTCAAAACAACGTACTTTTTGCCTGTGTACAGTAGGTGTATAATACAGTTGGGGACAATCAAAACCCGCCTATTTGGGATGCGTGGGAAAGTCGAATGTCAGGGGCGGGGAATGCCATCGGGAAACCTACGAAATAGTTTCTATGTGAATCAAGGCCCAAACGAAGAGATTGGCACGAGCAAAATTTGTCAAATCAATGATTTCTCCGAAACCGACCCCAAAATATTGAGAAAAGCCAAAAAAAAATCGCAAAAATAACGTAAAAATTACCAATCGACTCCTTTTGGTGAGCTTGTCATGATCCCGGCAAAAGCAAACAATTCTATCGAGCTGTTCCTTCGGGAAAAAATGATTTGATGTGCCAATTATTTGATCCAAAAACAGCATTTATATCTCAGGTATGGCTTCTATTGGCTGCTAAATGGTTCTGATGTACAGATATGTGACTTGGGAGAGATTTGTCCCTAAAAGTATCCCCACAGGGCCAAAAGGGGTACACACAATTCTGTTCAACCGGCCCAAAATATTGAGAAAAACAATGGCTCGTGGGAAAAACTTCGGAGGTATGTTTTTGGGCTCCTTTTCGCCCTCCGGATCTGAATCTGGTGTCAGATTTCTACAAAAATGAATGGTTCACGTGCTATTAAATAAGCGGTGTTTGATTGTCCCCAACTGTAGCTATGGACCGAGGTGAAGAATGAGCAGTGCCCCCTCCCACTTTATCACAATCTCTGCATAAGTTCCACTGACAGGAAAAGCAGCGCAGAGGATGCTGCGCTGATCCCTCGTTTCCATCAGAGCGCGACCACATGAAATGATGGAAACTTGTCGCTCCCTGCAGTGATCGTTCCTGATCTGGAACCCCAAAATGGCAAATTTGAATACCTTGCCGACACCGACACATTCTTCCATTCCCTTCCGTTCCTCTGGTGTAAATCCTGGGACTCTGTTCGAGTCAATGAATTGTATTCAAATCGCCGGAAAAAAAAAACAAAAAAAAACAAAAAAAAAAGAGTTGAATTTCGTTTAAAAATGGGGAAGGACACCGGTGGAATTAGAGACTAGCCCAGCCCGAGGTGCGATCTTCTTTGGCATGGAAACCTGTCGCTTCCTCATTTGGGTTCAATCTCTGAAATGCAAAATGTGGCGCTTTCAGATCCAGCCTCCCATACTTATTGATTCTGTTCCTCATGTATTTGCTTCCGTGCCTTTTTTACCCCCGCGGAGACGAAATTGACAGCCAATGCAAATTCCGAACTCCAATTTCCTGCCAGACTGAGCTGAGATATCTAATTCAAAAAATCTCCAAAACAATTTCCACCGATATTTACGCTGATATTTACGCCGATATCTACACGAGACTAGAGTTTGGCACGCCTAGGCCATCGGCGGAATTAGTTCTTGGTCTCCGGGAAAATCGGGGGGGGGGGGGGGGGGGGGGGTTACTCACGCATGCGCAGGCACAATCGGCGCGATAGAGGACCACCCCCTCTCAACGCTCTCCCCGTCCGTGTGCTCCACAAAATACTCCCCGGCAGTCTCGGTCTGCAAGAACCATGGCGTGGCAGCACGCCTGGCAGCCCGGTACCGCGGAGAGGCGGCGCTGCCTAAGCTGAAAACCGCTGTCGTATCCCATGAAGCGCGAGGCGCGGATGGCCCTGAGAACGTGCTCGGCGATGATGGCGCGCTCGACGATGGCGCGCGTGGCCAGAACGGCAGGCGCTTTGTAGAGAACTATGGCGCGCTCGACTACAAATAACATATGATCTCAGCGCAATATTCGACCTCGTACAGAATGACATACCGTCGTTTGAGACGCACTGGGGCACCATGTCGTCGTCTTCAGGTGAAGTCAGATATTGCCGCCGCAAGTTCGGAACGACTTACCCTCGCCAGAGATTAACTCAGGGACCGAATCGTCGGCTGGGT